TCCGCCGGCCAAAACAACCCAAACCATACGATCACTCGAGAATCTCATCCCCCAGGATGCCCCCAAAACATCCCACAAACTGTTTTTTTTGCGTCGGCGGCTAGGCAGAGTAACTGCACTGGCGGAGAGCTAACTAAACGGGGGTGCCGTTGTAGCGAAGTGCGCCACCATGCAGGAGAAGGGGACAGGGCATTGGAAGCGGCCGAAGGAGGGGGCAGGAAGGGAGCGAGGCCTCTCAGGGGGGCGGGTCACGCCCTGAGCGCGTGGAACATCCCACAAACACGAAGAACAATAGGTTACCCTCCACGAGCCGACCTCGATCTTGTACCTCGGTCCGGCTGTCTGATTTTTCGTTCAATCCGCGACCCCCCAGCAGCTCCCAACCCCTGCCCCGGGGGGTAGCGCCTCGCCCCGTGGATCCCATGCTGGCGGCCCCGAGGCCCGAAGGCGGGCCCCAGAGGTCGAGATCGAGGGACGCGGCCCAGATCGAACAAATCTTATCGTCGCTGGCGGCCCGCTCAAGCCGCCGCGTTAGGCCGCTATGCAATCTCGCGTAGGGCCCGCTCTTGATCGTGGAAAAAACGCAGCGTGCCGCGCTCGCGTCCCGCGTAAGCTGTGGCGTAAGGCCGCTGCGCCATCTCGCGCGAGGCCCGCTTTTGAGAGCCGCTCGTGTGGTCGCCCAGCTTCCCCGAGCTGTTTCGGGGCCCCTGCCATCGAGGCGGAGCCCAGAGATCCGGGGTTCCCAGTCCCAGCTCTCATTGGCCATGCCGCGGAGAACCCACGAGCTGGCCTGGCAGGGCCGTCCTGCCGCACCGCCCGAGCGGCAACGGCCAGGCCGCCCGGCGCAGCGAGAGAGGGTCGGGGGGGCGATCAGCACCGCCATCGGCTCGCGAGGCTCTGGCCGGAGACTCCGGACCCTCTGGCGCCAACCTGATCGGACAAGGACGCAGAGCGCCGCGTTTGTCCGTTAGGCTCGAACGTAAACCAACAAAAAGAAGTGGGCGACGACAAGGCGGCCGATGACGAGGACGACGGCGTGGATGACGGGGAGAGTAGCGAAGCTCTGGCCGGAGAGTCTGGACCTCTGGCGCCAATCCGCCGGTGCCCGCGGTGCCGTACAGTCACCAGGCATTCGAATGCAACTGTCGACCTCTTGACTTGTGCCCTGGCAAATGTTGAGCTTGTCTGGGCGAGGCGTACCGAAAGTAAACTGAAGCCCAACTCCACAAGAACGGCCCCTCGGTGTACCAGCTTTTGACGACAAGAGGGGGGGGGGGAAGCCTGTGCTGGGCGCGGGCGGCAAGCAATACAACGCAAACTAGAAAACGGACAACGGAAAACGGAGACCGGAAAACGGAAAACGGAACCCGGAAACCGGATAGCGAAAAACGGAAACCGGAAAACGGAAAACGGAACTTCGCTTTTTTGCTCAAGCCGGGAACCGGAAAACGGAAAACGGAAACCGGAAAGCGGAAACCGGAAACCAGACAACGGAAACCGGAAAACGGAAAACGGAAAACGGAATTTGGTTTTTTCGCCAAAACCGGAAAACGGAAACCAGAAACCGGAAAACGGAAACCGGAAAACGGAAAACCGGAAACTGGAAAACGGAAAACGGAAACCGGAAAACGGAAAACGGAACTTCGTTTTCTGCCCAGACCGGAAAACGGAAAACGGAAACCGGAAACCGGAAACCGGAAAACAGACCGGAAACCGGAAAACGGAAAACGGAAACCCGAAAAAGAAAACGGACAACGCAACTTCGCTTTCTGCCCAGACCGGAAGCCGGAAAACGGAAACCATGGAACGTAAACCGGAAAACGGAAACCGGAAAACGGAAAACGGAAAACGGAAAACAGATTTTCGTTTTTTGCCCCAGGGTTATGTTTTCCGTTTCCGTTCCGGTCCGGCGCGCCTGCTGACTGGAATCATCTGCGGTGGTGTTCTGGCGCTACCAGAAGGTCCACCACGTGCAAGATGGGCGCTCGCCGTGGACTACCTCGACAGCGCCACCCTCGACATGTGCACCCACATGAGAGGTCGCCGCCAGAACGTCGAGAGGCAAGACGCGCTCGTCTACGCTGACAATGCCAGGGCCACTCGCGATATAGAGAACCGCATCGTAGGCACCAGCGCCACCCGCCTCATCCACCTCGGCGGCCCTATCGCCCCCGCGGGTTCCAACTACGCGGAGATTCGCGAGCGCATCAAGTCAGCCGCTTTGGGATGGGCGCGCCTGAGCAATTACTGGGCCAGCCCTGGACCATGGAAGTATAAGCACAATACCTTCATTACTAACGTCGCTGGACGTGCCTGGTCAGCCATGGAGGGCTACGTCTTGGCTGCGGCCGAGCAGAACAAGCTCGACGTGCGCCTCGCCAAGAAGATGCGTGCGATGCCATTGGGGCGGGCTCGCCAAGACGACAACGACGGGTCACGTCTGAGCTGGGCAACAGACAAATATATCGTAAATGGCAACTCGCACCGACAGCAATGGACCATCTGATTAAGCGGCTCAACTGGTGGAAGGTCATCATCTCTGACCCTGGCTACCGCGCTCACTTCTTGGCCGCTTTCCTGGGCGAATGCAAGTTGGAGGTTCGCGCCGGAGCGAGCAGACGCCCAGCATCATTGCAATCGCTGCGAGATGACCGACTACGAGCTGAGATGGGGCTTCATCCGTGGGCGGTCCGTCTCCACAATAACGTGCGACAATTACTGGGCCACCCGACGGGCGCCATTTTCCAGAAGGCATGGGGCCCTCCAACGATGCTCTTTCGGGGCGAGCGCGTTCGCCAGGCCTATATAGCACGTGGCATGCGCCTTTTCCGCAGCGCGCGCGAGCAGCCAGTGGGCCCCCAGTGGCCCGATGGCAGCAGATGCGCCTGCCTTTGGTCAGGAGGCGGGCGAGACTGATAACGAGACGGAGCTTTGAGCCCTTTCCGATGCAACATTGAAATGTGCAACGCAAGGTTCTACACCGTCCATCGTCTGAAACTCTTTAGACGCATTCGTCGGCACCTGGTCGCGGGCGATCGACAACTACCACTGCCATCACCATTGGCGACATGTGCCTCAGCTGTTCCACATTTTCACGCGTCGATCATTGCCCCCGTCGCCAGCATAGATCATGGAAAGCGAACTGACGCATCCCCGAATTAATCCATCATAACCGCGAATGGCAACCATCGAGTGCGACCCGATGCCCGTTTTCAGTCATCACCGAGAAACCCGAATGTCACGAAATTTAGAATCATCCTCGAGAATTGCGTCGACATCTCGCCGATCATATTCCGCCCGCTCCGTCTGGATCTAGGCCCAAGCCTGCGCGCGTGAAGGCCGCGGCGCCGGCGGGACAGGCGCCTGCGCATGTCGCGCGACAGTTCCCAGGGAAACGCCGAGCGGCGTGGGCGCCTGAGGGCGCAGCCGAACTGCGAGATCAAGTGCGAGCAGCGCACAGCCATCCATCGACAGCAGCCAGAGCCAGACCAACACCTTCGAGAGCCCGACCAATATCGACGACGACAACAGCGAGTGCGACTAGCATCCCCGCTTCAGTGAACGCACCGGCGTCGGTAGCCACCACTTCTGTTTTACCAGTACCTCTTCGACGGGCGACGCGACGAATAGATGGCGGCAGCGGCAGCGCAGCCCCCGACGACGAAATCCAGCCGGCGCCCCTCCCCCCCCTCCCGCGGCGCCCCCCCCCCCCCCAGCGTCTGGGAGCTCTGGCGCCGCCGCCGCCGACAAGCCGACGGCCCAGCAAAAGGGGCACTCAGGCGCAGCCGTGCTGAAGGACAAGAAGGGAGAAGCCGACGTGGACCAGGGCGACGACGAGAACGAGCCCAAGGATGAGCGACGCCGCAAAGTACGCAGAGGAGGCCGACGCCAGCGAAGCCAACGCGCGGAGGAGACCTGGGCGAGCCGCGACAAGGAATTGAACGAACTGCTGAATGCGATCCTCAAGATGTAATGAGCGCCCAGAGGCTGAGGATCCTGAGCGCAGCCACCCTCGACGCGTCCACGACGGCTGGCAAGCGCCAGCTGATCGCCGCGCTCACAGCCGAGCTGGACAGCTACAAGGCGCACGTCGAGAAACTCCGCCATGGCGACGCCGAGCAGAGGAAAGACTTAAAGACACTGGGTGGCCCGACGGCGGGACTCACGCTGACGATGATCGAGTCGCTGTGCAAGCTCGACACAGGCGGAGGCAACGAGAAGACGCTCCACGACTATTTAGACAAGTGCCAGCCGCCCGACGACACAGCGCCGACCGTAACCAAGACGCAGCTCGAGGAACAGGTCACCATGATCAAGATCGAGAAATGCAGCGACGAGAAGCAGGTAAAACTGCTGCTAGTAGCGCCTCGCTGGGACCTCCACGCCGACGTGATCACCGCAACCAGGGCCGACGGGGTCTATGACACACCGCCAGGGGATCGCCCCACCTGGGTGGCTGGAGGAGGAATTAAGTATTTGGCTCGACGCTCTAGGCCGCAAGTAGTTCGATTCGTCCCTGGAGAGATTCTAGCCAGCACGATCCCCGCTCCTCCTCCTGAGCCTCCCTCTTCCCCCGAGCCCGAGCCCGAGCCACCCAGCGACGAGCAGCTCGAGCAAAACGACGGTGAAAACGAAAACCGCTTCCCCGACGAAGATGCCGATTTCGAGGCTGCCGAGTTTTTGTTTGGATAATCCCTGTCGCCGTGAAGCACGCCTAGCCCTTGAGCCAGCGCTCGAGTGAGCACCGCGCCTGCACACCGTTTCGCACTAAGGAATCACATCTTGGTGGCGGGTTCCAGATATTGTGCTGTAAACTACCAAATTCCCCGAGTCGTGTGTTGGCACGCAGTCACCGTCCTTAACATCGCAGCCCCCTCGCTGATGAAGGTCGTCGTCGCCGTCGTCGTCGCCGCCGCCGTCCTCGTCGTCGTCGTCGTCGTCCTCGTCGTCCTTGTCATCATCCTCATCGTCGTCGTCGTCGTCGCACTGGCGCGCGCCAGGGGCCACGGCGGCGGGTGGTTGCGCGACGACCAGCCGGAGCCCTGGGTTGCCCGGCAGGGCACCCAGGCGGGGGGGCGCGCGCGCGAACGTACACACGCCCGCGCGTTCTCCCCGCGCGGGGTCATCCTCGTACCCCTCCCCATCCTGCTCCTCCTCCCCCTCCTCCTCCTGCTCCTCCTCCGCTTTTTCCTCCTCCTCCTCTTGCTTCTTCCTGCTCCTCCTGCTTCCTCCTTCTCCTCCTCCTCCTCCTCCTCCTCCTTCACCTCCTGCTCGTATTGCTTTCTCCTCCTCATCCTCCTCCTCCTGCTCCTCGGGGGGGCGAGGGCTCTGGTCCGAGGAGGGAGGGGATTCGTCTCGCCGAAGATGAATCGAAGAAGAAACAATGCGCCATAAGCAAACACTTGTGGCGCTCCGCGCGTATTTCTTGGATCCGCGCTGGGCCCCCCCCCGGCGGCGACTCTGGCGCCGCCCCTGGCGCGCCCCATCGCTGTGGACCACCACGCCTCAGGTTACGGAGCCAATGGGGTGAAGTTTGTGGTCGAGTACACGTTTGGGTGCGATTGCTGCGACGAGTGTACGGTGTACTCCTATTTGTCCCTCCGTGTCGGCAAAGTGAGCGCTGACCAGCGGCTCGACGGGTGTGAACTTCAGCGTGCTGCAAGCAAGAGTAACTCGAGCTATTGGGAGGAACAGGGACTCCTCAGAAGGCCACAGGAGGCCCCAGAAGGCCCCCGCAACTCGGAGCTCTGAGACGCCGCGCTCGAGGTGGTCCGGCCCGTTTCGCCTGAGAATTCCTCGCAGCACGTTTCGCCACAGACATCATCGCAACTCTGGGCTCCGAGATGCTGCGCGCGAGGTGGTCCAGCCCGTTACGCTGGAGGCATCCTCGTACATCTGGGCTCCGAGATGCCGTTCGGGATGAAGAGGAGGTGGAGGAGGAGGAGGAGGAGGAGGAGGAGAAGGAGGAGGAGCTGGAAGGGCGAAGGAGGAGGAGGAGGAGGATGATGTGGATGAGGGAGCAGGCAGGAGGAGGGGGAGGAGGAGGAGGAGGAGGAGGAGGAGGAGGAGGAGGAGGAGGAGGAGGAGAAGGAGGAGGGAGAAGGAAGGGAGTTGCAGGAGATGACCTAAGGGGAAGCGAATGTGACGTGGACTTGTCAGAGCGTGTGCAAGAGGTTGTCCAGCCCGTTTCGTTTGAGACATCCTTCAAATACTGAGCTCCAAGATGTCGCTCGCGAGGTGGTCCGGCCCGTTTCGCTTGAGCCATCCTCACAGTGCGAAGCTCGAAGATGTTAAGGGCGAGATGGTCTGGCCCGTTCTGCCTGAGACGTTTCGTAGCACAGGGGCTCCAATCACAACCTCTCTCATTCCTTCTCCCGCCTCCCTCTTCCCGCTTCCCGCCTGGCGCCCCTTCCCTCCTCCCTCCTCACGCCTCCCGCCTCCCGCTGCTGCGCCTCTGCCTCCGCCTCCCCGTCCCCGCCGTCGTCGTTGCTGCCGACTCAGCATCCGTCATGCTCGCCCTGCCTTCCGCCCTCTCATGTGCAAACATCATGTTATCAGATTCTAACATGCCTTGCCAGCCCGCACTGGACGGGCACGCAATCGACCTTGGAAACCGCAGTGCGTTTAAAGACCCTGTTCGGGGATACTGCACTCCGGCTATAATATATGTTTGCTATTATTCGATGTCGGGCGGGGCTAGGACAAGGGCAAGTCCGTTCCAGAGCGTTCTTGAACGCTCTCAGAGCGTCCTTGGAACGCTCCGAGAGGGCCGCGGCGCCCGAGACATCCTCCAGAGCCGCCGAACTCTACAGATTCTTGATTTATCCTCACCCGATGTTGTCCTCGTCCTGGCTTCGTCTTACTGTGCTGGTCCCAGGGCCTGAAGCCAGTCAAAACGGCGGGTGTGAGACACACTGCAGCGACCAGATCTCAGGGCTCTCCTCGTCCGTCCTCCTCATCCGTTCTCGAAGGGAGCTGGGAGGCGTTCATTCTCGAAGGACCATTGTTCTTTGCTGTTGTGCCTCATTGCTTCCTCCCAGCGAGCGCCGCCATCATCTGACAGCCGAGACGGCTCATCGGGAGTGCAAGCCAAAATCCCTCTTCCCCCCCCCCCTCCTCCCTCCTCCTCATCGTCCTCCTCCCCCTGCTCCTCCTCCTGCTCCTCCTCCTCCTCCAGGAGCCGCCCAGGCACAAGCGCCCCCGCCGAGCTCCACCCAAGACAGCCTCGCACACCACATCTCTGTGTGCAGGGGGCCCAGGGCAGAGCGGGAGGACGGCGCCACTCGGGCGGCAGCAGCAATAATCGTAGTATACCCCACACACCCCCACATTCCGTATAATGAAGTTGCCGTTCCATAATGTGCAATGGGCAGATTTCGCTCGATTGGGAGAAATATCTTCGCAGGTGGAAAGTATAGACTACTACGTCGCCATCGGCACGGGGAGAGCTGCCAGGTACGACGAGGTGACCAAGGGCAAGCTCCCGCACCACCAAGCACGTAATTTTGGATGGAGGCGGTTTCGGACGACTAATAATTCAAGCGGGCTGAGTATTTTATGTGGCAAGAGATTTGTGGGTACACGGACGAAAGTTGATACACCACCACCGCATCTTGGGATCACAGGATGTGCGGCGATGGCACAGTTTTATCCTGGCAGTACGAGTTTGGCAAATATCCCGATATATAACCCTCATCGTGGGCTTGCCGTCACAACGCTGAGAGGCTCTACGAAGCGCATAGTGGGATGGATTGAGAGCGAGATTGACAAGCCGAGAGCTTCTTGTTTACTGACCATGGCAGGATATTAGAATTGCAGTTTTGGTTGGCAGACTGACATCACGGAGCGCACATACAAGGCAGAGTCCGAGAACGGGGGAACATGCGAGCCCGCGATCGAGAGCAAGACCCGCGCGCAGGAGAGATAATTCCTTAGCAACAGATTTTTGGCCATGGTAGACACGGCTTGGCACACAGGTCCCACTCACTACCAGGGCAGTCACAAAAGTAAGATTGACCATATCGCCGTCCCAGTCGAGAGCGTACAGCGAATTCGCCAATTACACCCTTTGCTTGGGCTCGATCGTCGAACACAACGACACGTGAGCACGCACCTCCATGACCAAGCACCTGTGTATGTGAAGCAGGACATCCACGTCACTCGTGCCCACAAGCAGACTTTGACGCCTAACATGAATCGCGGATTCCTCATGCACGCTTACAGCGGCGGGTACAAAAGAATTGAGTAGTTGGAGTTAGTCGAGCAGCACGCCCAGAGCATCAGCCAAGACGAAAGGCGCCTGAAAGGAGACCAAGGAGACGTGCAGGGCCTGTGGAACGGACTTTCGCAGTGTGATCCAGCAGCCATGGTCGAGAGCTTCCCGCGCATTGCGAACGACACCGCCGAGTATGAGGTGATGAGAGACGAAAGAGTTGTCCTGCTCCGAGAACGAGGCCTACTTCGAGAAGGACTATATCAGACTGGATCAAAATCATTCCAAAGAGACGGGTACACCGAGTGCGAAAGAATAGAAGGAGAGATAAGCAGAACTTTAAGGCAGATACAACACGGACGACGAGAGCAGAAGAAGCAGATGATTATGCGCACTGCGGCAGAGACCAACGGAGCCTGGAAAAAGAGACGAATGGCAGAAGTACATAGGAACAGCGTGCAGCTCTGGACAGGTGTAACCTACGCAGAGGACGCGAAGTCGAAGTGCAGCAAGGAGAGAGGGCCCCCACATCTACACGTGGCCGCGGATTTGTTTTCAGGAGATCACCAAGAGCACGGACATCGAGGGCAAGACAGCGACCGTTTCGACACAGCCCTCGAAGCTGATCGAGATAATGCAGAAGGAAGAATTCGCGGGCATCATTACATACTTTCGAGTGAAGAAGGTGTACACGGGCCCAGGGCAGACGCAGAAGTGGAAGCTTCACAAGATGTTCAATGCCTTGGCAGAGACTCCGCGGACAGAACACAACGAGGGCCAGGCGAATGCAATTCGCACGGGCAACGAGATGCCGCAAGTGAAGCTGGGGAACCACACGGTCCAAGACCTACGTCTGGCGACGTGCAGGGGGCTACGGGCATTCAAGGTGAATCAGGAGTTCGGAGCGCCTCCACTGTCGGCGATGGAGCGCCAGCCTTAGAGCACGCTCAAAGAGCGCCAGCAGCTCAGGTCGTGTAAATGGCGGGGCTCCGTGAAACGGCGCTGCGCGGTAGTGAACGCGCCCGCGCACTGATGGCTCAACTTCGGCAGAAATAGTGAGCAGTGAGAGGGCGGCGCAGTGGGCTAGCATTAAGGAATGCTTAGCCATGGAACGTTTTTTTATTTTTTTTAATCGCCACCTTGCAGCGGCCAGAGGGCCGGGCGGATACTGCGACGTCAGATTGGACGGATTTCTTCAGTACGTGGCGACACACAACGGGAGCGACTGGAGTTCACATTGTAGCTGGCTTTCGCCTGCTCCGATTTTGGGATCTTCGCTTGCTTTCAGGGGCCCCCGTGTCGGACTTTTTAGCCTCCTGAGCCCCCCTGTGCCATTCCCGTCCCGAGCCTTAAGTGACGTCCGGGTATAGGGTGCTTTAGTGTGTGCGCCGTGTCCTTTGGAGCATAGCTCTCGAGGAAGCCAAAAATGTGGACGCACGGACGCACGTTTCATGCCAGTACAGTGGGCAAGCCCACTAACGCATCGGAGTGGAGAGGGGTGGGGATGATGCTGGGTGGGACGGGGACTTTCAGATGCCACAGCGCACAAGCAATAACCCGAGCAGGGGGTGATGGGCCCGAAGGCCATAGCCTCCGCCGTTCATATCAGTTTTGTGTTTTGAGGGGCTCGGCGCCGAGCTGCAGCGGGCCCATAGGGCCTAACCAGGCCAGGGGGCCCGCAGGCTGACCCCTGCTATGCCGATAATGCCGCCAGCAGCTACCGAGCTCGCAGTCACAGCGAGACAGGCCATGAGACCGAGCACATGACCTTGAGCTGCCCAGGCTTCCGACTCCGACTCCTCCTCCTCCTCCTCCTCCGTAGCCATCTTGGCTCAAGTTCGAGACGCGTCCCTGGCGCTTCGAGCTTGTTCGCTGCTGAGGGGAGGCTCAGTGTCTTTTCCCTGGGGACAGGCCCCTGAATCTTATCCGTCGTGCGCCAAAGCACGCTGCCTTGCAAGCGTCGCTCGCGTCCCTGCGCAGTTCCAGCCATGGCGGGCGGCGGGTCCTCCTCGCTCGTCGCTCCCTGCGGGGCGTGTGGCTGCAAGAAGAACACGCCTTGGTACAAGTGGTGCAAGTCGTGCCACAGTCCTTTGGCCTCGCCTCTGGCTAAGGGTCGCCCTCGTGCTGGTGGGGATGGTCAACTGCCTGAAGGAGGTAAGCGTCGCCGTGGCGCTGACGGAGGTGGCAGAGGTGTTGGAAAAGGATTCGGACGCGCTGGTGTGCCGCCCCCTCCGTCTAGCAACCAGCATGAGTACCTTGAGGCGCTCGCCAAGCACTTCAAGGGCGTGGGTGACTGTCTCCCTGGATCTGATGCCATCCTCCAGGCTCTGGCTGCCTCGTCCAGCGCGGTCGAGCAGGCGGAGCTCGACAAGCAGAACGCTGGGGCGCAGGCCTCGGCAGTCCAGAAGCAGCTTCTTTCCAAGGAGAAGGAGCTTTTACAGGTTACGGGTTCCATCGAATATCATCGCAAGCGTGGCGAGGAGCTGCGGACAAGGTCCGCTCAGATCGGCGCGGAGATCGAGCAGCTTCGTGTGCGATATCGCGAGCTCTCCGCCAAGGTGGCTCCTCCCGGTGGAGGCCCAGGTGCTGAGGTCGACATCGCGAAGTTCAAGGACACTTTCTCGGCCATGGATGTGTTCTTGGGCCAGGCCGCAGAGGCTGTGCAGAAGGAGAGCCTCGATGACCTCAAGGCCAAGATGGAGGCCACACGCAGTGCGCTGCAGTCGGGCAAGGAGCATCTCAACAAGTCGGTGGAGGCCGTCAAGGCTCGTGGCTCGTCTGCGAGATCGGCATCTGCCCCTGTGGCCAGGCCCCGCATCCGTTCAGACGACGACCTCTACAACCTCCTGTGTGGCCCCTCGACGTCCGCGGAAGAGAAGAAGCGCAGGTTGGAGATGGTGGAGGCCGTGGCCAGCAGGTTGCGTACCTAATATCACTACAGCCTATCGGGAGGGGGCTTTGTGTCCTCCCTCCAGGCCACTGGAGGCCCATACTTCGTCCTCTGGGCGCGCCTCGTCATCGCCAGTTACCTTGTCGACAGACCCCTTTGCTACAGCCCCCACCCACCTCCCAGCGCAAGCTGGTTGGCCCCCAGGGTTAAAGGGTGGGAGCGGCTTCTCAGCGAAGGGGCCGGTGCAGTCTGAGGCGCCTGGCCACCCTCAGAGCTCTGTTGCATCGGTGAGCTGCTATAACCAGCCCAGTGTAGTTCTTCCCTCGGACTCTGAGTTTCCTGGTGGTGAGTTCGGTTTCATCCTGGGGGCTTTCAACGGTTCGGGTTGGGGAACTGCTCGTAAGAGACTGGAACAAACCCCTGCTCACATTGCGTGTATCCAGGAGTATAAGATTCGCAGTTTTGAAGAAATCAACCAAGCCAGTGCGTGGGGGATCCAACATGGTTGGAAGATTCTCTGGGAGCCTGGTTGTTCTGGGGAAGAAGGTGGTGCTTCTGCTGGTGTTGCGTTGGCGGTACGTGCAGTTTTTGGATTCCACCCTCTCCTCGACGTCACTCAGGTTTCTCCGCGCAGGTGTGTTGCTGGCGTTGTTCAGCGGCTGGGACAGCCGAAGATCTTAGTTGCCAGCATTTACTTGCATGACTGCGAGCAGATGAGCGATGACAACCTTGCCATCCTCTCGGATGCCATGTCGTTCCTGGGGCACTCGGGCATGCCGTTCGTGATGGGCGGGGATTTCAACATGGTTCCCGAAGTGCTCCTGGACAATGGGATTCCCGAGCCCCTGCGAGGCCCACTGGCGTCGGCGCCTGGGGATCGAGGGTCTCTGACGGGCCCCACCGGTACCAAGCGCTGCGACTATTTCCTGGTCCCTGGAGGTTTGAGCAAATGCGTCAAGGAGGTCTCCCTTGTCGAGGAGGCCGCCACTCGTCCTCACTTGCCTGTGCGTCTGGAGTTCCACAAGTCTCTCAGCACTCTGAGGGCCCTCAGGTTTCGCAAGCCTCCGAAGATCCCCGTCGAGCCTGCCATGGGACCCGTGGTGCAACCGCCCGACTGGACTCAGACCCTGGAGCTCTTGGAACTTACGTTGGAAAGTGCTGTCTCTGGGAGGCTGCAGGAGGCTTTCTCGGGGCTGGACTCGGCCTACGAAGTGTGGGCTAACCTCAGCGAGGTCGAGCTTGTCGCATCGACACAGTCGACCATCCCAGTTTTTGGCACACGCGGACGCAGGCCCAGGTGCGAGTGGTGCGATCCGCTCACCATCGACACCAGGGCCGCGCCGCCGTCAGCGCAGCAGTCGGTCAATTTCTTTGCTGCGCAGTTGCGCGCTTCGATCGGGCACCTTGGCGCGGGCGACCCCGTCGAGCACCCGGCCGTGCAGTCGATTGTAAGTAAGTTGCGACGTCCTCCTCTGAATATCCTGGACAATCTGGGGGAGTGGTCTGTGGTTCACGATCAGGCTGTTTTATTTTTGGGACGTATTGGCGTGCTTGCTCTGGATGACCGGAGGCTTTCTTTGACCCAGTTGTTGGAGGATTTCGAGGGGTCCCTTTCAGAGGCCGTCGCTTTTACTCGTAAGTTATCTAGAGCTTTCTGGAGGCAGTGGGATCTTGGAGGGCATCGAGAAAGGGGGCAAGAGGGCTCACCAGTTCACGAGGGACCCCCAATCTTGGAAACCTACTACCACTCTGAGCTCTGATGGTGCCCTTGTTTCGGACCCACTCAGCCTCTTGAAGGCAGAAGCTCTCAAGTTTGCTGACCTCTGGGGCACTACGTATCAGGAGGCTCGGCCGCCTGACCGTTTCGCGCGCGAGGCTATCCTGGAGCCCTTGGAGTTTCTCAGCCCTCCAGTGCTTCGTGACCTCAGCCTCAGCGATACCAAGTTCACGGCGGTATCTGTCGACGGGTTTCACATGAGGCACTTCGCGCACTCTGGGGGCGCGCTCGCCGTCGCTTAGCTGAGGAGTGGGAGGCTGCGTGGCAAAGGCCTTTCTTCGCCTGTGGGCGATTCAAGTCTTCCTCGGACGTGGCTTGGATGCAAGCTCTTAGATCCGAAGAGTCTGTTTCATTCAAGGACGTGTCCGCAAGTGTTCTTGGGGACATGTATAAGTTCTGCGAATTATTCGATCTGGAGCTGCTTCTAGACCGTTGCAGGCGCGTGGGCTTTTCTCTGCAGGTGGCCCGCTTGCGCGTGTTCGCCTACCAGTGTGCACGGTTTGCATTGATGAATGGCAGCGTCAACGGTCCTTGGCTGGCCATCAAGGGTGTCATCGCTGGGTGTTCGATCGCGACTACATTCGTTCGTATTTACTTCGTCCTGGATCTGGATAGGTTGACGCTGCCGCGCTCGGTTACCCTAGATGCTTATATCGACGACTGTGCTTTGAATTGCACGGGCAGTCCCGGGCTGGTGGTTCGGGACCTTGCGGCTGCATCGCGAGCGCTGCACCGCGTTCTCACGATCGATTGTAAGTGATCGTTGTGGATTGATCGCGCCAAGGGGGTCACGGCTGACAAGGCTTGCCTCATCTCGTCCTCGGCTGCCGTTGCTCGTCGCCTTCGTGACATCCTAGGGGGACTCGCTGGGCCGACCACTACGGGGGTAGCTAATCTCGGGGTCGACGACACTCAGGGTAAGCCTCGAAGATCGTATGGTCGTGGTGCTACTGCCGAGAAGCGAGCTGCCATGTTTAATCGTCTTGCCAAGAGGCTGGCCAAGTTGAAGCCTGACCTCGACAAACGATGCAAGCAGATATTTACCGCTGGGCCGCTGTCTGGCATTTTATATGGAGCAGAAGTTCATGGGTGTAGTGACGGGGAGGTACTTCGGATTCGTCGTGAACTCGGTCGTACACTGCAGCCGTCGGCAGGAGGTCGCTCGCTCACCGTGCTCATGATCGCCGAGAACGATCCCTCCTGGCTCGCCTCGGTAGCACCAGTGGTTCGATGGGGCAAAGAAGTGTGGATCACGGCTAGCAAGATCACGTCTCTTTCGTCGTCGTTTGCTGCGCTGCGCTCGGCATGGAGCGCCACGTTCCCCAAGGACATCACATGGCGCTCGTGTAGTGGACCAGTCGGTGCTATGAAGCTTTCTCTGTGCAGGATTGACTGGCAGATGAAAGACCCCTTCACTCTGACCAATGACCTCCAGCAAGAGATCTCGCTGCCTGTCGCATCACCTGCTCTGTTGAAGAAGCTCCGCAGGGAAGGAGTGCTTCGTGCTTTGGAGAGGCAGGCCAGCCTCGCTTTGGGGTCCTCTGATCGGTTGTGCTTCGACGTTATGGTTTCCGCTACTCGGTCGTCTAAGTTCGACAAGGTCCAGGGGGGCTCTGCGAAGGCGGTTCTCTGTGGGGCTACTTGGACTCGTGACAGGGCGGCTAGCTTAGGTTATCAGTGCTGTCCTAAGTGTGTTCTCTGCGGGGAGCCCGACCCTTTGTTCCACAGGATTTGGGAGTGTAGCCAGTGCTCTGAGCTGCGTGCCAGCCTCGTGGACCCCTGGGTGCTTGAAGCCTCCAATGACCCCAACGTGGACCTGCTTCTTTTCACCCGAGGCCTTTTCAGGCACCCAGGGGATTTGTGCCCACCTCCGCTCCCGGACACAGGTGTAGATATCGCGTGGCATGGCGACCCAGCTCGGCTGGGTGGCGGATTCGAGGGCCACATTTTTATGGACGGCTCGTGTTTCAAACATCCTGTGCGGGAGTTGTCGAGAGCGGGGTGGGGGTTATGTGTTTTTGAAAATTCGGACTCCGCGGCCCCTCTCTGGTCTGTTTCGGCCCCCGTCTGGCGCCCCACGCCCCAGACGAGTCATGGAGGGGAACACTCGGCCTTCGGGGG